CAGCCTGAGTCCTGCCACTTCTCCCTGCCTTGTCACCTATCCCTGCCCTATGTCACCTGCCCTGCCTCATGTCACCTAACCCTGTCCTGACACCTAGCCCTGCTTTGTCACCCTGCCCTGGCCTGCCAATTCCTCCTGCCTGTCACTCCATCCCTTCCTGTGACACCCAGCCCTGCCCACATCACCCAGCCCTACCCCTGTCACCACATCCCTGCCCTGTGTCCCCGCATCTGTGCGCCTTGTCGCTGCCCCCTGCTTCACTGGGCTGCTGATGGCAGCTTCACGGCTCACGGTTTGCTGGTCCCGGCAGGAGGAGCAGGACTGAGGCAGCCCCAGTGCCACCACCGCCGAGGCGCCATGTGATGGCTGCAGCGGGGCCATCACCCGTGACTGGGGTGAGGACACAAAACCTGGACACTGTGCCCATCTTTTGGAGGAAAACCCAAGGAACCCTCGGATCAAGGCTTTGCCATCCCTGCTGGAGGAGGTCTCCTTGGTGGGATGGGAGCAATGCTTACCCCAAACAGTGACGCTTCTCACCCCAGCTCCCCTTGCCGCCTGCCGGCTCATTGGGGAATTTTCTTTTCCCAAGTTTTCCCAAACAGCAGGGAAATTTCCAGGCCAAAACAAACAGCCACACGTGGGGTTTGTCACCGGCTCCAGAGCAGCCTGCCCAGGGGAAGCGTTGCCATGGCTACAGAGGAAAAAATTAGAATTCCGATCCAGCGAGAAGGCTCGGCGATAGAAGTGCTTAATTAAAGATGAGAAGGCGGCAGGAAAGTTCAGACGTGTGCAGAGCAGGGATGTAATTGGCAGCAGGCAGCTGCAGGGAGTTATCGGGGGACTGCCCATCCTGCCGGGTGCTGGTGCCTCTTGTTTTTGTCTCTTGGCTGGGAGAAAAGGGGGTGTGAGGTGCTCCCCCCAAATCACAGGGGGAGCAGGCCTGGGGACTGGAGGAGCTCAGTGCAATGGAGATGGCCCCAAGCCTGGCTTTAACGCCGTGGGAAACTGGGGCAGGGCAAGACGCTGGACTCCGGGTGTGGGAAGGAAGATGCTGTGTCAGCATCCCATAAGGAGAGCCATGCTGGGACACAGAGCAGCAGGATGGCCTTCCCCTCCTCCCTGCTGCACAACGCAGCCTTCGAGTGACACTGAAGCGCGTCCCAAGAATTCAGTTCATATTTCCTGGGGTCTGGCATGGAGATGAGTCCCAAAAAAGCTTCTTTTTCCCATTATTGGAGCATAATTTTGTCCAGCAGAGCCCATTACTTTTCTGTCCCCCTCCCCGCAGAGCCAAGTTTTCCTGGGGGCTGAGAGCGGACGCTCGCTGCCTCCGCAGGACTGGCTTTAGGGATGTGTCCCCAGGTGTGCCCAGGCTGGGGTGAGAAGGGGCACAGGGGAACATCAGTCCCCAGCACTGGTCCATCATCCGCTCTGTGGGGAGCAGAGCCCCAGCCCACGGCGGTGATGGCTCTGGGTCAACAGCCCACCACTGTCACGCTGCTCCATGACACCCACCTCTCTGCTGATGAAGACCCAAGGTTGCTCCAAGTTGGCACCTGGGAGCAAAATTTGGGCTCTGGCTGTGCCCTGAACCGGCTCCCTGCCATGCCTGGGGAAACGAATCCTCAAGCCGCCTCTGCGAAGCACCCGGCAGGGCAAGAAGGGCTCATTGCTCCAGGAAGGAGTTTGCTAAGATTGAGAAAAAGAGTTTTAGAGAGCAGGCTGTGAAGTTTCAGGCGAGGAAAGCAAGTGGTGGTTGTTCTTCTGTTTAAAGCCACCTCCCAGCATGGGTGTCCAGGCTCCGGGTATGGCAGGAGAGGATGTCCCCTCCTCAGGAGAAAAGGCTGGATCGTCCCCCCCAGCCTTCACCAACGTTCTGGCTCTTAAACCAGCTCCTCTCTGAAAGTGCCGTGAGATTTTGGAAATAACAGACCATCACACTGCTTACAGAGTCAGGCTTAAAGCAATGAACTGAGATCAGCCAACTGCCATGACCTGCACCGCATCGCTCCCTCTTGCTCCACTCCCAGCCTGGCAGGGAAGAGTTTAATTCTTTCCAGCATATGAAATACTTGCAGTGAAGACCTAAAGCTTTTGGGAAAAAAAATAACCCCACCATAGCAGAAACCCCTTAATTCAATGGCAGGTTTTCATTAAAGAGAAACGTCTAAGGGAATTTTGATAACTTGAAGGAAAAGCATATGTTCAGCTGCCGAGCTGAGACAGATAGCACATTTTTTTAAAAGCTTTTTGGTTTACTTTTATGTAGAAAAGAGTGCAAACAGCAAAATCTCACATAAAAGAAAAAGTCTGGGAAATGGAGCCTTGCAAAGGAAACGGAATGGATCACACAATCCGATTTTTTGGGGGGAGGTTGCAGGGCTGTTTCTCAGATAACAGCGGAGATCTCTACTTTAAAACTCATGATATGGTCCAGCCAAGGGTTGTAGCAGAGATTTCTCCTCTTGACATCACATTTTTATGTGAACCACACATGAGGGCATCAATATAACATCTCCATCTTCTCCAGAGTACTGGAAGCAGCAGGACCCCAGGACCTGAAAAGTTTTCTCTGGACTGATGAGCAAGGAAAAGAAAAGGGCTGGCACAAAGGATGGGCCAGACCGGCTCATGAAACCATGGCTGCAAGAGTAAAGGAGGAGCTGTGCCAGCTCTGCCCCACACTAACACAGCTCTTCCAGGGGTCCCCCTGCCACGGACACTGCAGCATGGGAGCGCCTGTGCTGCTGGCATTCACTTCCCAGGCAGCACCTGAGCTCATTGTTAACCATAGCACTGAAAAAGCCAGGATCAGTCATGCAACTTGGGGTTCTCTTTTTCTACTTGCTAGGTTTTTTTTTTTTCATTTTTCATGCATTTTTTACCTTATCCTTATAACCATAATAGCCTAAATTTCAGAAGTAGGTAAGTGGGATAGAATACAGGAGTGAAAGGAAGCCAAGGTTGTGTTATGATCTACTCATTTCAGCCATAGACATTGCCAGAAAGCACAAAGAGCACAAAATAAAAGGCACAGGATTCAGCAACAGAAGGATTCCATAGCGCCATCTCCCACAGGATGCCTGGTGAGCAGCATCAAGGAAACCACGTCCTGCTTCTGGTGCAGATGACTTGCTGTGCTGATACCACTGCAGCCCATCATAGCTTTCAGCTGCTCAAAAGTCAGTTGAGGTCCTTTGGTTCTTGGTATTTTTTCATCTGAGTTCCTCAGCCCAGTGGGCTCAGTAAGAAATACCTGTGCAAAGTGCTGGTCAAATGGTGGTCCTGATTATCCTGAGCTTTGAGCGCCGGTGCTCTGGTCCCCCGGGGCTGTTCTCCTGCCTGGGGGCTGGATGCAGGGGGCAGAGCTAAGCAACTCCTTCCTTTCCAACCAGTGGTACTGGCACAGCAAACAAAAACACTGTTTTCAGGATCACAGCAGGTTTTATTTCCTCCCAGTTTCTTCCCCACATGCCTTCCCCCAGTTGCGTCATTGTATTTCAGCCTTTTGAAACTCAGCAGAAAAAAAAAAATTGGATTAAAAGAGTCTCCAAAACCAGACAAATCCACTTGTAATTGTTTTCCCCCTCTTTCCCAAAGCACGAGCAAGATCCGTTCCAAAGTGTCCAAGGCATTTTCCCCTCTCATCATTTACAGGGACAAAAATCAGGATGTTCATGCAGAGTTTGAGCCATCCAAGTCAACCTTAGACAGCAGAAAGAAGAGCCCCCAACTGTTAGAGGGCTCAAATGTTATTTAGAAACTATTTCTTTAAAAACAGGCATAATTTGCCAAAGATTTAGTTGCGTGGTGATTTTCAGATTAAGTTATATTTAAGTTGCATTCAGATACAAGTGCATGGTGTGGGTCTCTCACTCTGCCTCCGGTACAGCTGGAGAGAGGAGCACGCCCAGCCTACTGAAAGCAGGTGCTGCTGCCAAGCTCCTCCTCATCTCAAGCCTGGCTTGAGAAGTACCAGCACAACAGCAGGTTTTTTGGATGCTTCCCTTCACATTGCAGTCCAGCCTGACTCCAATTAATTAATGGAGTTTGCTGAAATCCCAGCCTTAGCTACTCTGGCTGCTCTCTAGCTACACAGCTGTCTTCCACCCGCACTTGAGAGACTTTGTATTTACCAAGTATTAATTAGATGAATGTGAAGCACCAGTTTCTAGGCAGGGGAAATTATCTGCTCTCTCTCTGCCCTGTAACAAGCCCATATTGGGACACGTCTGAAAAGGGAGCAGGTAAAAGTGGCTCCTTCTCGCTCTGCACATCTGCCACTTTTCATATTTCACTGCTTTTGCTGCCACCATTGACAAGCAATTCACTCCTGCTAGACCTGAAAAGGCAACAGCCTTGAGGAAGAAGGAGCTGGAGTCTCTCCCTTTGCATATTACCACCAAAGCTGGTCTCTGACACTGTCTTGATAGTCAGACCCACCAAATGGAAAGAGCTGCTGTCTCAGAGGGCTCCTCCAAGTGCCAGGAGCTGCTGAACAAGTGACTTGTTCAGCACAGGCAACAAATCCTCCACCTCCAGAACTCCTCAAGACCAGGCTGGGCAGATGTTTGTCAGGACTGACCACAGGTAATCCTGCCCAGGGGAAGAGAAGGGGACAGGGTGGCCACCCCAAGATCTCTCCTATGCCTGAAGTGCTACCTTTTCATAGAGGACATGCGCAGCACAACTCTGTTCCTCCTGGTGGCAACATCTGCACCATTAGTAATATAGCTGCTGACACCAGTAATTGCAGCACGAAGGGCTTCAAGCAAATACTCATCCAGAAAAAACTCACCAGGTCACAATGTCCTTTTGCACCCAGAGCTGAAGAAATGTCATGGAAGGCTGAAGGCTGCAACCGAGGGCGAGCGTCAATGGTAAACAATTGATCAGCTAAATTTAGGAAGGCAGATTTGGGAGCTCTCCATGACCAGTTGGGTGTCTTCAGTTCAGACCACAGTGTCAACTGAAAACATTTAGCTATGACAGTGATGGGCTTTATAGAGAACTCCAAGATAAATGAAGGGAAAAAGGTTACCTAATAATTACAGTCACTGTTTCACATCCAGCTGCATCCACAGCTCAGCTTGACCTTTGGGGAACAATGAATAATGCACCGTTCTGGTGAATAGTCACCCTTCCTTGATAGACCATTGGCACACTGGTAAAAGAGAGCATGGTGGCCTCTCCTGTTTGTCCTTTACTCACTGCTAGGCTCCATTTCTTCACGTAAGAGGTACAGGAAAGTCAGAAAAGTATCATACCTGTTCCAAAATAATTTCCACTGTAATTTCACATCACTAAACTCCACAAACCATTGGTGCTGCAACGTCTGCTGCAGGGACTGCAGCAGAGCAAAGCTAGGGTGAAACACT